TTTTTTTGTTTGAAAGATAAGTTTACATGCTATCTTTCATACATTTCCACTTTTGTTGTATGTTTAGTGCATTTTTCGTAATTTTGCAAAAACCTAGGCTATATTTTTAAATATTTTTGTGTTATTTTTGTTGATTACGTTTTATTGATACAATATATCAGAAATAACTTAAAGAGAAGGTTGTAGCACGTTAAAAGGGCTTTACAAAAATACCGAATTCGATATGCTTTACTCAAAGGATTACGTCAAGAAACTAGAAAAATCGTACTAAACAACCTAATTTGGCGCAAAAACTCATATAAATCCGACACCGATGGCTGTGTACGAGTCATATATATTCATATATATATGTATGAAAGATAGCATGTAAACTTATCTTTCAAACAAAAAAAAGTTCATTCCGATGAGATCTATCTAGTTTCCTGACGTAATATTTTGAGTAAAACATATCGAATTTGGTAGTTTTGTAAAGCTTTTTAAATGTTCTACAACTTTTTCCATTGGTGGTTTTTGGTATACTGTATCAATAAAACGTTACAAACAAAAATAACACAAAAATATTAAAAAATACAGGTTTTTGCAAAATTACGAAATATTTACTAAACATACAACAAATGTGTGCAACAGATAGCATTTAAACTTATCTTTCAAATAAAAAAAAGTTCATTCTGATCCGACAAATAGTTTGCAAAATATACGCTTTTTAAAAATCATTGGCTGTCATTTTGATTAAGTCATAGCCGGAAAACGTGGGGGGTAGGAGGTAAACACCCAGGTTTTTTAAACTCCCTAGACATCAAACTAAAACGTTATGCAAGAATATTGAGTATACACAAGTTTGCACACTAAAGTATAGCTAGCTGCAGGACTACAATTAAAAATAATGTGTTGATACATTATAAAAATTAAACTGTTATTGTTAAATATCATAGTTTTTTAGGGTGGGACTGGAAATTTATGCTATATTATAGATTTGCATTCATAGTAGAACATTATAGACTTTAAGTAAACCAACAGAAAAAAAGATTGTTTAGAATTTTCAAGTTCATTTTAGAACAAACTGTTTGCTCCGCCTCCCAGTTAACTAAAAAGTTAAAGAAGTAGAAACATATTAAATAAATAATAAGAATAAGTGAAGTTAAATAAAACATAGTGTGTTTTTAAAAAAACATTACACAAACTTCACGGATGCCAATATATTCCCAACCATACTAGGAATTTCCTAAAATTGATATTGTATGTTGAATTAGGTTTATTATCAATAAAGTTGAGAATACTAAAGGTTAACATTGAATAATAAAATACATTTGTATTAAAGTAACAGATATATTGACAAAATTGTAAAACGATTGTATAATATCAAGCAATATCAAATTATTTACAGTATCACGGTTACAACTTTTAAACTACTCTTGTTATGACTCAAAGTTAACGTCTTTAGGTGTGTTCGTGTTCTATGTACTTATTTATTAAATGACGACCTTCATATATGGAAGTGAATAACGACGCCTTGTACGGCCTGAAGATGGTTCCCTGTGAACCGAAACTATAGTTGCCACAAGCAGCATATTGGATTACTGAATGCAGGTATTTAAACCATTATAAATAGTCTTTAGGAACTTTCATTTTATGCTTTTGTTGGTGGAGACTGGTTAAAACACCACAGTAGGTTTTGCAAATATGATTGTGAGATGATATATTATCTGAACTAGTTTATGTGTGTTGATAATAATATGTATTTTAATTTAAGTACTTTATTTGATTCGGTTATGTGTTTACCTCATATACAGGGGTGCCCAGAGGGGGGGACCATGGCGTGTTTGCGCCACATGAATTTTTGGGGGGGGGGAACTTCTTTAGGGAGATTTTGGGGGGGGGGATATTTTTTTGTTAGCTGTCATAATGAATGTAGAATTTTGTATAATCAGACTGAAAAACTTTGTCTAAGTAGCTCAACAATCAACACCAACAACATTCTGCCATTCGTAATTAAGATTGCTTCTAAGAATGGTAAAACGCACCTTATCAGACAATCCTTAATATGTACTAGTGTCGACTTTTTTTATTCTGTGTTCGCTGACTTTTACTTGCTACATATGCTTTGGTGGTTCTTTAACTCCACCATCGTTGACGTCTTAGGCCTTTAAAAAGATCCACTTCTGGAGGTGTCGTCAGAATATGTTACAAACATTTAACACAAAACGATTACAGATATGCCTATCAATGCACAAGAGTACATTGGCACGGGCAGGACTGGAAGTAAACTGAATCAGTTCAGGTTATGGCGGACCGACGTGGTCTCTGGATTGTCGTCTGTTTTGTGCGTTTTCATCAGCTGTTATTTTGGACTAGTGTTGAAAATATAATGGGATTCATAACTAATTGAGTGTTTTCACTCAAAAATTGTGTGCTATCCCTAGTTTTATTTATTTATATACCGGTATTCCAAAGTATAAGTTTATTTCTCTTCCAAAGTATTTAATAAATTTCTTTTCACGCAGTAATGTAGAATTTCGAGACCATCATTTATATCCAGCATAAATATTGGTTATTATTGTCAATAGTTTTGAATGGAAAACTCAATTATGAATCCCATTATATTTTTAACACTCTCCTCTGTCACTACAATTAGTCCTAACATCTGTTGAAAACGCAGACGACAATCCAGAGGCCACGCCGGTCTGTCATAACCTGATTCAGTTTACTTCCAGTCCTGCCCGCAGCAATGTCCTCGCATGAATTGATAGGAATATCTGTAATCGTTTTGTGTTTTGTGTTGAATGTTTGTAACATATTCTGACGACACCTCCAGAAGTCGATCCTTTTGTAAGTCTGACGATGGTGGATGTTACATATGTAAGTCTACATATGTTAAAGAACCGCCAAAACATATGTAGCAAGTAAAATACGACACTACCGTACATATATTATTAGGGATTGTCTGACAAGATGCGTTTCTACCACTATTAGTCATAAAAGGCAATCCTGGGGCTATCAAAATGAATTATAAGATTACTTCGTCACAAAAACCTTTTGTGCTAGTGGCAATTAAGGTATTTTGTGTATTTTGCCCGGCGATTTTTGTAGAAGGCAGTCTGGGAGTGGCGAGCAATAAGTCTGCCCTATTTCGTGACTCTCTGCCTATAATTTTGAAACCAGATACTTTTTGTCAAAATATTATTAATGCTCTTTAAGCTGTTTGAATTCTTAAGCCCTGTAAAAATTAATGCCACCTAATATAGTGGACAGTTACAATACTGTGTTGGAGTAGAGTAATTCACCGAGTATGTTGAGCACATGTTGGCTGACAATACAGTTTCTGAATTGTAAATTGAAAAACTTCTAATTTGTCCGTTAGTTAGATATAATGATGTATTGTTAAATGACGTTTCCTATTAAACATTTAATATTGATTATCAGCAGGTTTGTTTTTCTTTACCTCAAGTTTACTAAAGACTTGAAATGCTCGTTTTATGAGGTAAAGGGGAAATTGCCAGATACATTGGCAGGTGGAAGATAGGTTTAAATAGACGGCAGCATAAATTGGGGGGGACTACTCCTTTGGCTTGGGGGGGGGGGTTGCGCCTCTGGGTTTGGGGGGGATGGGCACCTCTGCTCATATAACATTTGAACATGGATTGAAACATTAGATGTCTTTGGAATACTCTGAGAGTGAGATGCAAAACATAACTTTCAGCAATGATGCATCAAAATCTACCTTTACTGAGTGATTCAGAAATGTAATTGTAAAATATTTTGTCAACATGACTAGAATGTTAATAAAATAGATGTATCAGCACGAAATAGTTTGTAAGATAAAAAATTAGAAGACAGAACAATTATAAGAAGGACAACTTATATAGTGTTCTAACCTAAAACATTGTTATTGTTTCAATGTAAAAATTCAATTAATTGATACAAAATAACTATGTTACCAATTTATGTTTGTAAACAAAAGTAAATTTTTCAATAGTGTCATAAAATCAATTTAAATAATTATTTACTACACAAAATATTTGTAATGTAAAACATAGTTCACCACTCGGAGCAAAAGTATATTATTTATGGTACTTAAATTGTTTTATATTACGTGGCAGTACAGTATTATTAGTTTATTAGTTGCTTGTTGCACTGTTCTACACACTGCTCAAGCGAAGCGCTACAACTCATTAAGTGGCATCCTGTTCACACACTGTTGATATATACTGAATTGCGGCATGGTGCCACTATTTAGAGTGTAGGCTGGCGCGAGAATTGGCAACATAGCATTAGGAAAGTTATAGTTCCAGCGGGCGGCGCGAGGCGCGCTAGCTACCTGTATGGTTTCGTGTTCCACAATTCGGCGTGTACCTGCGCTACTTAAACTCACATCACCGAGTTCAAAAATACTCAATTGTGGCATGTGATGTTTAAACAACGTAATAATACTGGAAACCCCAAAAAATGATCGAATTAGCTGTGGCACCCTGAAAAAGGTGCCACAGTACGGCCACGTGCCTGTGAAGGATGCCACTATTCGGTGAATACAGACACACACACACACACACACAGACAGACACACAGACATCACTTCAAAAACCACTTTTTTGGGTTCAGGGGGACCCAAAACGGATATATCCACTCAAAACTCAAACTCGAAAATTTTGACAAAAACAATTACATTCTCCATATACTATAGTGGGAGAAAGTAAAAAAGAAGAATTTTATAACATATTTAAACGTGTAATGTAGGTACCTAATTTATACCATTATCATATAATGTACAGAAAATATATGTTTGTTCTTTTATATTTGTGAGACGCATGCAATAAGTTCAATGAGTGCAATGGCCTACCTTGTTGGATTAGTAAAATATCTTCATCTTCATTGGAATAATTGTTTTGCCATTTTGCCCCTGTAATAAAACATTTGCCAATTGAGATTTTTTTCACTCTAGATCTCAGATTGAAATCACAGAGTATTTGTTGGTATAAAACTGTATAGTGAACTTGGTGTTTCAGAACATCGGAGGTCCAGAGCCACCATCCAATCGACCCCGACTTCTGTACGTCGTCCGTCTTGATAATAATTCTATCAATCTAAGTCAGGTAAGCTATTACATAACATATACGTTTTTTATTGTTTTACTAGCCTTAGGCTATTTTTACTTTCTCCCCCTATACCATAGTATATGGAGAAAGTATTGTTTTCGTCAAAATTTTCGAGTTTGAGTTTTGAGTGGATATATTCGTTTTGGGCCCCCCTGGACCCAAAAAAGTGGTTTTCGAAGTGATGTCTGTGTGTGTGTGTGTGTGTGTGTCTGTGTGTCCGTGTGTCTGTGTGTCTGGATGTGTACAGAGCTAGAGACTACACCTGTGGTCCGATTTCGATGAAATTTGGTATGTAGGTTCTAATCCATGGTATCTCCAGGCGTTTTTTTCATTTTTTTGAAATTTTGATTTTTAATGGGGATTTTCCCATAAAAACCCATAAAAAACCGGAAAAATTGGATTTTCTCAAAAATGGCCCGAACGATTTTGATAAAAACTTAGTATGTTGTAGCCCTTTAAATTCTGAACAAAATGGTACAAATCCCATTTCTGTAAAAATTACGGTTCAAAAGTTATGGTAAATTATGTTATTTTCCCATAAAAACCCCATAAAATAAAGAAAAATAGGATTTTAGACAAAAATCTGGTTTTTATTTGACATAGTATGTTATGGTCCTTACAATTTTGATAGTTTTTTTCATTTTTTAGAAATTTTTATTTTTAATGGGTATTTTCCCATAAAACCCCATAAAATAACGGAAAAATAAGATTTTCCCAAAAATGGCCTGAACGATTTTGATAAAAATTCAGTATGTTATAGTCCTTTATATTCTGAACAAAATGGTACAAATCACATTTCTGTAAATATTACGGTTCAAAAGTTATTGAAAATTATGCTATTTTCCCATAAAAACCCCATAAAATAACGGAAAATCACATTTTCCCAAAATTGGCTCAAACGATTTTGATAAAAATTTAGTATGTTATAGTCCTTTAAATTCTGAAAAAAATCTTACAAATCCCATTTCCGTATATTTACTCTCACCGCTTACACATGATAAAGGTTGTTGACGAACTTATGGGAGAAAGTATGTGTCAGAATGCTGATGCCGTTTATTTTTCAATAGGAAAAGATAGCTTTTAAAGATAGGCATAACATTTGGTCCCAATTTATATAAAAGGAAAGCTGGGACGATTTGACCCACTTACATCTTAGAATTTTCTTTTGGAGGCGCCCCTAAACAATAATACAGGGAGCGGCAGAAATATTTGACGGTTTTCAAGCGAGTACAGTCCGGCAGCCAAGTGGAGGAGGGTGGTGGAGAGCGGCTCATTCTCAAGGCCAAGTGACCCCATTTCAGTCCCCATAGAGCAGTGGACCGGTATACATCGCGCGTTTGTCGTGGAGGCGTATTTTAAAAATGGCGATTCTGTTGTTGATACGCAACGTAAGTTTCGTAGGCATTTTAATGTGGCTCGTGGGGAACCTATCCCATCCCGAAACACAATCGGATACCTTAAGATCCACAGGATCAACTGCAAAACGTAGGCCTACAGGCTGTCCAAGGTCAGTGAGGACACCGGAGAACGTGGAGCGAGTGCGACAAACTGTGCTAACGAGCCCGCATCGCCCGGCGTGTGGACAAGCTGCTGCTCATGGCATGTCTGAGCGCTCTATTCGACGAATTTTGCTGAAGTTTTTGGACGATTGCTATTTTATATGGGTGAAAGTGAAGGTCTGAGTGCACTCAGACTCTATTCGTCGAATAGAGCGCTCAGACATGCCATGAGCAGCAGCTTGTCCACGCGCCGGGCGATGCGGGCTCGTTAGCACAGTTTGTCGCACTCGCTCCACGTTCTCCGGCGTCCTCACTGACCTTGGACGGCCTGTAGGCCTACGTTTTGCAGTTGATCCTGTGGATCTTAAGGTATCCGATTGTGTTTCGGGATGGGATAGGTTCCCCACGAGCCACATTAAAATGACTACGAAACTTACATTGCGTATCAACAACAGAATCGCGCCATTTTTAAAATACGCCCCCACGACAAACGCGCGATGTATACCGGTCCACTGCTCTATGGGGACTGAAATGGGGTCACTTGGCCTTGAAAATGAGCCGCTCCCCACCACCCTCCTCCACTTGGCTACCGGACTGTACTCGCTTGAAAACCGTCAGATATTTCTGCCGCTCCCTGTATTAATTGTTTTTTATTATTTTACTAGCTGGCCCGACAGACGTCGTCCTGTCCTAATGTGGTCTTATGTCAAATGCTCGTTCATTTTCAAGATGAGCTCGTTCGCATGGCTCAATCACGTCCTGGTTGAAGTTCGTTCGCTATGCCTACTCACCTTTAGGTTGGAGCTCGTTCGCTGCGCTCACTTGCCTTCAGGTTAGCTTGTTCGCTACGCTAACTCGCCTCGAGTTTGAAGTTGGTTCGCTACGCTCACTCACCTTTTGGTTGCAATATTAGCTGTTGTCAAAAATTAAAAACTGTTAAAACTGTTGGTAAACCTATTAATTTTTTATTGCTATTGAACTTCACAGAATCATATTGTTTAGTTGAACCAGCTTTTAAGATTCTTTAATTCCGTTTAAATATGAGTACTCATAAGGTTAACATGGGAAACTCCAAAGCCACTGGGGCGGAGTAGAGGTGGGAACGAAGTACTGGAATCGTTACTTTGTAATCGTTACATGGTTGGTGCTAAAGTAATCGTTACTCAAGTATCAGAGTACCGGTTCCGATTACTTCAATATAGTAGCAAATCGATGTGCCTGGAATCGTTAAGAGAAGATGATTCCATGCCGTTTCGATTCCGTAAATGAGTCCAGCTACCAGCTTGCTTGACAAGCGAGATAACCCCATTCCACAGTCCAGTCCAACACTTATAAATTTTGGATTGGAGTTGATCCCAAAGAGCTTCGTTTCGCTCCGTTTAACTAACTCTGCCGCCGCCTCGCTCCCGTGGGTGAACAGTTGATGTTTTTGAATGCGAAATCCAAATCAGTTTATCGGATTAAATTAATCCACTATGATTTGAAAATAATGTTAGTTAAAATTGTGTTAATTACAATGTGCAAAAACATATCTCGTAGTTTTGCTTATTCTAACCTTCCTTAGAATGATTTAATTGTTACAAATTACTACAGTAATTGATTGTATAAATTTGTATAATAATATACAAATTTAAATTAATGATAGATTAGATGACTGATTAATGATTAATTAATGAATCCTATATTTTGGAAACTCATTTAAATTTGTATTTATTGCGATAAAAACACAAACAAATATTTATTTGGCTTCAGTAAACTTTGAATCAAAAGGCATTACTGTAACTGGAATACATCGGAGTATCAATACCATGACGATTACGAGTGCAATCGGTCGATTGCGGCTACTCTGTAACGGCGGTAACGAAGTAATCGTTGGGAATCGGAACGGTTACTTGTAAGGAGTCCACGAGTGTAGCTGGAATCATTGTAGCGGCTACATCAATGGAATCATTTAGCCCATCTCTAGGGCGGAGCCCTTTTGACGGATCTGCACCAAACTTCACACAAACCATCCTTGAATAATGCTTAATAATGCCTAAAAGTTTCATTACAATCTGTTGAGCAGTTTCGGAGTCCATAAAGGACAAACAAACAAACATACATTGGATTTTATATATGTATATAGCTTAATATTATATTGTAAAGGGTCTACTGAAACTCTGGTTACTAAATGAAAATTGTGAAGATGGTATTATAATGATGTCTATACAACTGACGATAATAATGTCTAACTTCATGATAATCTTCATGATATCTCCAAAATTGCGGGTGATGTAACATTTATGTAGAGAATCTGTGTGACTGGGTGATATTAATTAATTGAATTGGTTTAGCATGTCTGTGGAATGAGCTAATGGAACAGTGGTATGGATGCATTAGGTTTGGGACATGGAAATATATGGGACATGACAGTATATGTAAATAATTACTAGGAGGTGGAGCAATTAGAAAGACTGTTAACTGTCTATTTTGAAATAAAGGTTTTACCCTGAGGTTGATCGTGCCCATTGCCGTTAACACCTTAAGCCAGCTTTTGATGAGCTGTGATTTTAGTAATTTATAACAAGTAAATCTTATAACTAACCCACTACCTGAATATGTAAGAATTGCATTTACAAGGTTACTAATTAATGAACTAACAGTGTAAAATGGAAACTGATAGAAGTAAGGTAATTAAGAAATGAATTAATTGAATTGACAGCACATACGTATTGAACAATTTAGAACCATGTGAATTTAGGTTTTGTTTCGACAAGCTGATGTCGGCTTCTCTTAAGGAGAAGACCGACATTTTAAATTGGAAAACCTACATCCTAATGCCCCCAGTTTCGCCCCGGCAACCCCTAACTGATCTTAGGCCTAAACTATTTCATGATTTGAATTTGGGTTCCCTGATAATTAAGGCAATTACTTAGATACTAATACTTATGTTTAATTTGGAGCTATCAGGCAAGATTCCAGCGATGTTCAAGTACAAGAGTCAAAGGCGAACGAGAGAGATTTCTCGTATGCTCGTCGTTTTTACCTCTATTGCCGTTGGCAGTTGATACGCTTCGGCCAGTAAGTTATTGCTTGCGTGCTGAGTAACTAAATATATAAAAGGCAAAGCCCTCACTGACTCGATAGATGACACGATAGAAACAAGCTCTAAACGGCATTGTATCATTGGTATGGGATTTTTCATTGTAAAATCTTTAAAGCAGATGCGGTTTGTAATACATGTTTCTATAGTGTCTAGTTCACGAGATATGAGCGATGTTCTAGAACTCGCCTCCGCGCTACTTCCCTCCCTTCCACCAAGTTTTGCACCTGCTGGAGGGCGACGACATCAGTTTTTGTCATCTCCAAGGTGCCCCCAACAACAAGCAAAAGACAAAATGCGTTACACTTTCAGTACATACCCAATTTATACAAGTCTGTACTACAAGTTGATTTCTGCTGCGCAGCGGCGTCACACGTGTCACCGTGCCGCTTTATCGGAAACCTTGCATAACCTTG